TCCCTGTGCAGAATTAGAGCTGCTAAAACTCAGGGCTTGACTCCAAATTTCAGGATTTCTCAGTATTTCCATTTAAAGCTCAGCCAGAAGAAAGGGGACAGGCTATGAACGTTTATTATAGCAGCTGAAAGATTAGTCAGGTAGCCCCTTGTTCTCATCCTCCCTCTGCCCATAAAGGAGGAGGAGGAGGAGATTGGATTTATACCCCGCCCTTCACTTGGAGTCTCAGAGCAGTTTACAAACTCCTTTCCCTTCCCCTCCCCACAACAGACACCCTGTGAGGTGGGTGGGGCTGAGAGAACTCTGACACAAACTGCTCTTTTTCAAGGACAGCTGTGCCAGAGCTTGTGACTGACCCAAGGTCACATCAGCAGGTGCAAGTGGAGGAGTGGGGAATCAAACCCGGTTCTCCCAGATTAGAGGCTGCACACTTAACCACTACACCAAACCGGCTCCCCTAAATAAGCTTCTCTCTGCCTCAGCCCCCTTCCCCTTTATTATGGAAACAATACCTTACAGGGTTGTTGTACAACTGCAAGATAATCTTAAGAATTTCAAGCAGTTGACAAGACTGGAGGAGGCTCCTCTACAGTCTTCCCTTCTAGAGTTTAAACCACCTAATCCCCCTTTTCCAGCATGGTTTCCCAATCACAACACATTTTGCTCTGAGAGAGAACAAGCAAGCAAGCAACTAAGAGGTAAACGGCAAGGCAGCTGTAATATTTTGAAAATAGAGTGGAAAGCGGGCAGTGTAATTTTATTGTTGTGACCCGCCTTGAGCACACTTGTGGGGAGGGCAGGATAAAAATTCAGACAAACAAATAAATATATAAATGCTGAAATCACTGTCTGATCCCTTGAAAAGATGGCCTGATGAAAATGGAGGGATGTTTTAACAAGTTATTTTTTTCTGTTGGTACCTAACAAAAGCTGTAGATGGCAAGACCTCATAAAAGAAGCATTCCTCCCCCCCGCCCCCCAGAGGATGGAAGACCTTTTCAAACATACTGTAGGTGTTATGATACAAGCAGTCACCCGCTAAAAACAAAGAATGCCTTTTGAATTCACAATTACAGATTGAGTCATATGCAAGTTGACACAGAGCTACAAGGGGTCCTATGCTGTTACTCCATTCTAAGATTTCAGTGGCCTTATACTGGAATGACTCTACATGGGATTTCTCTGTTAATAGATGAAGTAAACATTGGACTAAGCTTTCTCTTAGTTAAATTACTGCCCTATTTGTTTTCTCTTTTAAAAAATTATCAAGTGCTGCTAGACTTTGCCCTCCTGCTTCATCCGGTGCTTTTATTGAGTTCACTAGCTCTGTAGTCTTACGCTTCAAGAACTGAACAAAAAAGGAGATCTGGTAGCTCAATGGAAACTGTATTCCCCCATTTTTCTTGGAAGCAAGACTAGTTACTAGTGAATAAATGATCAGGCTGTAAATTTTAGATGCGTATGGGAGCTGAGAAGATCTGTGCAGAGGCATATGATGTTCCATAAAAATGGCCCCATACGTACAATCAGGCTAACCATGCTTGTAGTGGAGGTACGCAACCAGCTGCTGGAGTGATATTCCTTTTTATAGCCAGTAGAGGGCACTTTGTGGCAAATCCATGCAAATAAAAAGTTGTATTGGCTCAGTCATAGTTAAAAGTTATGGTAGTAAACTTTGCCAAGCAAATGGCTTCCTTTTATGTTTTGTTCTATTACACCTCCTCAGATATAAACAGAACTGTAAATTAGAGAAATTGACACTGCAATGATAGCAGCTCTCTAAGGAGAATTCAGCTGAGTTAATCCCATATTACTTTCATTTCACAGCCACCACAGGGAGTATTGTTCTTCCTCTTTTGAGGCCAAGAAGGTTCATTAAAGATGCTGAAACTTATTAAACTGAGCTCTAGGTGACAGCAACACCAATAGGGCCATACAGGTCTCAGCATTCATGTGAAGAGCATCCTTACCTCCCTTGTAAGGCAGCTCCTAAAAACAGTGAAGCACTAGCAGAAACAGATACTGGCAGTCGTTAACAGGACCAAGGGGGAAATCAATACCTGGATACTTGGAGAAACGGTAGTTAGAGGATTTGGTATTCAGAGTTCAGTTACCAAGATTTTGATGGGAAAGTCAGTCAAGTTTTTATTTAGTACCTTTTAAAATCCCTAAGGAGCTCAAAGATGGTGTATCCGGTTCTCCTCTGCTTCACTTTATCTTAAAAAGCCATTGCGGGAGGTAAGACTGAGAGACAGTTACCTGGCCCAAGGCTACCCAGGAAGTCTAATGGCAAGTGGAAGCAGTACCTGGCTCTGTTCATCAAAATTTTACTGAACTGAACACAGAACATGTTTGTCCTACAGTTCATAAGGCTCCAAACATGCAGCATGGAAATGAACTACAGATTCTAACGCAAGTGACAGTCTTGGACAAGCCATATCCACTGAAGCCTGTACTCTCTCATCACTCAAAGGAGACAGGTTAATACATCAGCAACGGAGCATGTGATTAGCTGTACACAGTAAGGCTCCAACATGCAGCATGGAAATGAACTACAGATTCTAACGCAAGTGACAGTCTTGGACAAGCCATATCCACTGAAGCCTGTACTCTCTCATCACTCAAAGGAGACAGGTTAGTACATCAGCAACGGAGCATGTGATTAGCTATACACAGAACTAAGGTTTAAAGATACAGGAATGTTTCCGGAAACAGGCTTGAGAGGCTTCTAGCCAAGCTTGATGCAACTAATTTAAGTAGAAGTTACTGAGGCTGCAATCTTCAAGCCTTAGCTCTGTAACTCCTGTGTGCCTTTGTTTCCCTCAGACTCCCTCATGGATTTCTTCTTAAAAAGGAAATAAAACACTGAACAAAAATGGTGCCATTCGAGACATGAGTCAGACCAATAGCTCTGACCCTTTTAATGCACCACATGCAAAATTACAAATGTTCCAGCCCCAAGTGAAAAAATGAGGACATACAAACCACTGTAGATAGTGTTTATGCTCAATACAGAGATATCAAGCACCATATTCAATGAGGCCCGTGTCTGATGGCCTCCAGTCAGCTCCAAATTAATTTGATTTCTATTTGCTGTGCATCACTTTTTTCGAGGCCTGACAGAGAGAATAAGGGGACCCGAGATATTCCTTTTCTACTAGAAGCCATTGTAAATGGGAGAAGAGCTGCCTGAAATCATGGAGCACCCCCCACCAATTTGTACTTTATTTCTATTAAGAACCATGGAGTTACAAGTCATATAACCCATTAGTCTATGATTAATCAATCCAAGGCAAGCTTCTTCTAATAGAAACATTTTAAATGGCCCACAAGTGCTATACTAGATTCTTTGACAGAGGAGTGTTTCGTGAGTTTGTGATGAACATTCGCTGTTGTCTGATAGCTAGCTGTTTAACAGAAGAACAATCAAAACCAAGCTCCATGCTGAAGTGTAATCAAAGACTGAAATTCCACCCATAAGCCCAGGAACAGCTTGAGCGTTGAGTACTTGTGGCTGCTTCAAAGGTCCATTCTTTTTTTTCTGGAAGTGATGTACTTTAGGCACTGAGATGCTGTAGTAGAGGAGTGTAATAGGTAGGAAACATACAGAACAGCTCTGCCTATGCAATTCTAGTTCACACGTACTGCATAAACAATAAAGCATTTAAGCAGTAGTACTGAAAGACAGCTATTTATTCTTTTGCACTTAGGAAATAGTTCATAGTAATGTTGCTAGGATGACCACCACCACCCTTCCTGTCTACGCACTACCTAGAAGGTCCGGTCAGAGATTCCTGGCTTCTAACAGCTAACTGAAAGATTCTGACGGGGGCTTTCAGTGTAGCTATGTGAAGATCAGTTGTTGCAAGAAAATTTGCCATACTTGCTACTAAACAAGCCTTCATCAAAGCAAAAGCTACATCACAGACCTATGACCTGACTGTGCTTCTATACTGCAAAGCACAGGATAAACTGAAAGTGGGACTTTTCCATCTCATACCCATAGTTCCACCTTCTAGCCCTTTTCTCTAAATGCTTTTTGTCCTAGGTACAGTTCTGGATATGTTTGCTACACATCACCGCCATATAATCTTTGTTCACTTCCAACAGTGACTGCTGGTTGTCTCCCCCCACCCACAAGTTGCTAACATTCAAAACTGGGAGTTATGAAATAGGCTAGGGGAACTATAACTCAGCAAGCTAAGAAATAGCAGGATGCAAGGATTCTGCTCCCCATCATCTGGACAGATTATTTGCTGGTGATGAAATGTTCTGGAGACCAAGTACAGCAACATTTACTCTCACTTAACAAGGTGGGGAAGAGGAGGAGGGAGCAGTATGGAAGGCTAGGGGGAGAGAGTAGAATGCCTTTTATAACTGGAGAAAACCGTCCTGGGGTGTTTTCTGCAGTTGCAGTGTTATTAATGGGTATTCAGAAAGCCAGATGACTGCAGACGCACGAATAATCATTTCTAGCTCCTCACCTCACGCAGAAGTTCCAGTTTTCAGATGAGAGGCTGGATGAGTGCCGGCAATGTAATCTTGTTAATGAGAAGGTATTAGCCTCTCTCCAGTGTTGTCCCCTCTCACAAAGTGAAAAACTTCAGAGCTACCTGACAGGACACAGGTATACATTTTAGAGTGCTTTCTTAGCCAGCTCAGCTAATGATGGCCCTCTGCAGAGTGTGCTGGAACAGTTTCCAATATCAAGTTGCAAGATCTCTTGACTAACCCCTGCCAGGCAGATAACCTCAACCTATTTCAAGCTGGGGCAAAAGTACTGCTCGGTCTCCTTTTCCTAGCTACCTTCAGTAAGGCACCAAACACTTTTTAATCTCACCAGACATTTTTATTGGAAACTTTAAATAATTTTTAGACATATTACATGGCTTTCCCCAACAGGAAACTGGACAACATGAACCAGTGACAGAGGAGCAGAGGTTTTGCCTCAGCAGTGAGACTCATGAATGTTCTTCAGCTAACTTCTCAGCTTTCGCCACAGCCTCATGAATGTTCTTCAGCTAACTTCTCAGCTTTCGCCACAGCCTCTTCAATGGGCCCCACCATGTAGAAAGCCTGCTCAGGAAGATGGTCATACTCTCCTATACAAGAGAAGGAAAGGATACAGCAACTCAGGAAACAGCAGGAGATTAAACAGTGGTCTTTTGTGTGTTTTAAAGGATACAGCAACTCAGGAAACAGCAGATTAAACAGTGGTCTTTTGTGTGTTATTAATAAATTGTTTCATTTATATGGTAAGCAGCCTTCAGTTCTGCAAAACAGAAAGGCTACTAATAAATGTTTTTTTAAAATAAATAAGTAACTCAAGGAGGAGGGAAGAAGACTGTCACTCGTTTAAGAACAGCACTGACCATTGCTGTGTAGTTGAATTTTATTCCCCCTACATCATGCAGTTTTTCTGTTAAGGACAAAGAACTGTGTCTTATGTCTGTGACAACCTGTAACCACATTATAGATGGTGATTTGCTACTGCCACCAACCTTGACCCAGTGTGAAAAATTCTTAACTGACTTACAAATCACTTGCCAAGAGCTATTCATCCTGGAATATGGACTCTTTTTGCTCAAACAGTGCAGAAGCAATGGATGTGGTAGCTGCAGCAGCACTATGAGCAAAATTTTAAAAAGAGTTTCAAAAGGCTGCCAAGACCACTATTTACCTTTCAGGATTTGCTGAAAGCCCTTGATTGTTTCCTTCAGGGGCACTAGCTTGCCTGCATGGCCAGTGAAGACTTCGGCCACCTGGAAGGGCTGGGAAAGAAACCTCTGAATCTTACGGGCACGGGCCACTGTCAATTTATCTTCTTCAGACAACTCGTCCATACCCAAAATAGCGATGATATCCTGGAGGGACTTGTAGTCCTAGAAAGAAACATGTTTGTAAGATCTCATCCATGAAAGCACAGCCAGACACATGACAGTGCAATTAAATTTTGCCTCTTGGGCAGCAGCTGGCACTAGTGTGGGATCTCACAGCTGGAAGACCTTCTGCTCTAGACATATTGCAGAAGGTGTCAACCAAATAAGGCCAGAATGCATTCTTAATGCCTTTAAGCTCATGTTCTGCACACCAGTCTACCTTCTCTCACCTGCAGAATCTTTTGCACTCCACGGGCCACATCATAATGTTCATGCCCCACAATATTGGGATCCATGATCCGGGAGGTGGAGTCTAGAGGGTCCACAGCTGGATAAATGCCCAGTTCAGCAATGGCACGAGACAGCACAGTGGTGGCATCCAAATGGGCAAACGTAGTTGCAGGGGCTGGGTCAGTCAAGTCATCAGCCGGTACATAGATAGCCTGAGTAGAGAAAAAGTTACAGAAGAACCATACAAGAAGGTTTAAGACAGATGTGTCGAATTCATTTGTTACAAGGGCTGGATCTGACATAAATGTCACTTTGTCAGGCCGGGCCATGGGTGCCATAAATGTAATGCCAGGTACTGGTGATATAAACTTTATAAAGGACACAAGCAAACCCAATTAATGATGTTATTTTTATAAAGGACACAAGCAAACCCAATTATTGATTTTTATTCAATATACAAACATGCTTAAAACATTCTTACAGTATTACCTTACAGTACCTCCTTGACACCTGCCCTCCCACTTCTATCGCCCATTACTCATTAGCACCAGAACAGTATGCAGGGACATAATGCACAGCCTTTGTCACCTGGCAATAAAGGAAATGACCAGTTGCTTGCGGGCCAAATAAGAGTTCTGGTCCACAGGCCGTATGTTTGAAACCCCTGGTTTAAGACCATCTGCTTACAAATTTGCTGTTTCCCTGCCATATAAAGGGCCTGGGATGGGAATAACCAGACTTCTCGAGAGTATAATTCTACTATCTGTTCATAACTTATTACTGGAATTAGGGGCGGGTTAACTCCTCTGAAAGAGACTGTAGAATACCTGCACAGAAGTGATAGAGCCTTTCCGAGTTGTTGTAATTCTCTCCTGCATGGTACCCATATCAGTTGCTAGAGTAGGCTGGTAGCCCACAGCTGAGGGGATCCTACCCAGCAAGGCAGACACCTGAAAGAGAAAGAATGTATATTATTCCTCTAGAGTGTACTTGCCAGCCACGTAAGTTTACTTGAGAAAAGAAATCCTTGAACAAAGTTCTGCAGATGAATGGCTAAGTTACCAGGGACAGGTCCACAGTCACTAGAACAAAAAACAGGCTTTCCATCCTATCTTTCTGCTAAGCCACATCCCATTTTCACTAATACATCTTAAGACTGCTGTACATGTCTTCTCCTAAGAATGAGCAAACAGATCCCTTGGCAACCACTGCCAATCTTTTAAGCACATTCCTTGTCACCAATTTATTTTTCCCCATTAAGATACAAAGACCAAATTTAAGCCTGAGGTTAACACACTACATCCAGCCATACCTCAGATCCAGCCTGTGTGAAACGGAAGATGTTGTCAATGAAGAGCAGCACATCCTGACCTTCTTGGTCCCTGAAATACTCTGCCACAGTCAACCCAGTTAGTGCAACCCTGGCACGAGCACCTGGTGGTTCATTCATCTGCCCATAAACAAGGGCGACCTGGAGGAAAAGGTGATAGATAGCTGAGGTTTTAGAGAACAGCACAATACCTTACCAGACACATCATTAACTATAGGACTACAGATTGCACTATACAAAAAGCATTCCCTTGAAAAACAAATTCAGTCAATTGTTGCAACAGATATGCTAGCAAAGGGATCTCTTCTACTTTGGTCACTAGTACTTGGCCTATTAGCAGTCATACTAAAAAAAGGGAACTGGACATTAGTCCCTTAGATGGCAGACTAAAGCAAATGATACCATACCCATGACAGGGGAAAAGTAGGTTAGCCACATTAATCCACAGCAAAAATCCAAGCCAAACTAGGTTAGCCACATTAATCCACAGCAAAAGTCCAAGAGCCACACAATGCCTTTATTAATTGCCAACCAAAAAGGAACAAGGATCTTGTATCTTTGAGGACAGAGCTCAATAACTTTATATTTGGACAACCCTACTAGCTTGCTCACCTTGGATGTGGTATCCTTCAGATTGATGACCCCAGATTCAATCATTTCATGGTACAAGTCATTTCCCTCACGAGTTCTTTCCCCGACACCAGCAAACACTGAGTAGCCACCATGGGCTTTTGCAACATTGTTGATCAGCTCCATGATCAATACTGTCTTGCCCACACCAGCACCACCAAATAGACCTGAGGGAGAAAGACCATTCAGTACACCAGAATTTTTAAAATACTTCCCCCTTCCCACCATACCCTTTTCCTTCTCAGACAGAAAAGGTTGCTTCAGCAATCTCAGAAGAACGAAAGTCATGATGTTACTCATCACTGAAGGAAACTAAGTGAACACTGAATTTCTAACTTCTAGTGAACAGGATCCCAAACTGCTGGAAAGGAGGAGCTTCAGATCACCCCATTCCATGACCATCCCCACAGTCTTTTTTGGGAGCTTACCAATTTTTCCACCTTTGGCATATGGGGCAAGGAGGTCTACAACCTTAATGCCAGTGACAAGGATTTCCTGCTCAACACTCATCTCAACAAACTCTGGTGCTTCAGCATGGATAGCAGCAAACCTGTGAGAAACAGATGGATTTGTGTTAACATGCTCCTTCTGAGACATCCAGAAAGTGCTTACACAGCTCTTAACAACTAACTATGCAAAACTAAAACTTGTGGGGATTAATTAGCACTCTGCTGTACTCTAGAACAGGATGGGCAACACTACTTCATTTTGCCAAGGATGGCTAGAACCTCAGCTTTCAATTAAAAACTGTAAGGTCTCATGTTTGAGAGTGTAAAGAAGTACTTCAAAATTCTGCACTAGGGTGTGGTTTTTTGTACAATAAGATATGGTGTAAGGACGACGACTTGCTTATGAATTAAAATTTAATTTTGTGTCAAGATGATCTGGATGCTCTAACTCATCAGGTCAGTTTTCCATTGTCTAGAGAAGAGCTCAATCATCTGTCAACATTAGTAAGATGATGATGTACATATAAATAGAATCCCTGTACTCTACCTGCTGCATTACAAATGGTCAACAGTTATGCATGTAGCATCCTACTATTAGCATATATTTTAACAACTTTAGAAAACCAATACAATTAATAGGTTAATGATAACAAAATAATACTTCCCATAGCAGAAGGATATAACTATGGCAGGTCTTCAGAACTTATCAAAAGATATCCCATCAAAATGGAATCAGCTCTATGAAAATTAGCTACCATGCTATTTAGAATAACTCTTGCTTATCATTTAACCATATAGATTCACACTTACTGTTTTGTTGTTATTGGGCCTCTTTCATCAATTGGTTCTCCAATTACATTCATGATTCTTCCAAGGGTCTCAGGTCCTACAGGAATTCTGATGGGTGCACCTGAGTCCAAAACCTTCTGGCCTCTTACCAAGCCTTCAGTACCATCCATAGCAATGGTACGAACAGTATTCTCACCTGCAACAGAAGTGACAATGACTGTAAAAGTTGCACTTCCACTAGGTCTGCACTGTGGAAATAGCTGCAGCATTCAGTGATCAATCCCTCCCTTAGTATTCAGCCCCAATAGTTAAACCAATGAGTTAAAAACCTCAAATACCATTTTAAAAACACAAGATATAAATATATATTCTGCTTAATGTGAACATCCCACCATCAATGTGATACAGCTTACCAAATCTCAAAGAACTTTATGAAAGGGAAAACAAGCTTTTGCTCAAGCACCTCCAAAACAAGTAAATTAGACTCCAAGCTCGTTTCTACTGGATACAATTAAGACTTGAGCAAAGTTGCAAGACCACGGACAGGCCACATTTTCTAAACCTCTGACATGTTCTGCTCCTTAGTATGGAACATTCAGGCAACAGGATGTTCATTCCCTCCATCTCTCTCTTGCATTCACTTGAGGTTTGAACACAGTATGCTGACTGCATGAGAATGATCCCTAAGACATAAGGCAATCAGGGAATTTGTTTCCTTCTCAGATAATAAAAGAGGCTTCAGCAAGCTCAGAAGAACGAAAGTCATCTTTTATTGATCATCAAGGAAGAAAACCCCTCCCTCCAGTTATATTTAATATGTACAGTCCTTACCTAAGTGCTGTGCCACCTCCAGCACCAGCCGGGTGTCCCTGCCTTGCACTTCAAGGGCATTCAGGATAGGTGGCAGCTCTTCATCAAACTGGACATCCACCACAGCACCAATGACTGCCACAATACGCCCAGTGGAAACTCCAGCTTTAGCTGCAGGAGTTGTCTGCGCTGCATAGTTCCGGCCTAGAGAACAGAACATCAGAGAAACAAGCAATTAGGTGCAGGCCACAGAGCAACTTCAGTCCCCAACATCCTATCAAGGGAGTAAAAATCACAAGAGAGCAGAGCTTAAAAGGTTGACACATTTCTACTTCTCACCCTAAAGGACCCCTTCCATGTAGATTTGTCAGTGTACGAACCTCTATATAACAGTATGCTAATGGAAGTTCTAGAAAACACACAGCACCAGGCAGGTTTCAAAATACCTAAAACATTCCCTTAGAGCTAAGGTGCCAACAATGGACAAGAATGCAACAATGATGTGCATTCTTAAGGTAACTGCTCAACTGCTACCAACAGCTTCCAAGAACCCTTAGCTCCCCAGAACATAGTCTGAAGGCCCCTACTCCAGTACTTCAAAGAACGTGATCTGAAGGTCCATAAAGACTTTTGCATAAAAACACACATCACCCTATATACAGGTTGGTGTCCATTTTTGCACAAACCAACCTGTTTGCTACTTCAGGACCTTCAAATCCACCTCCCCATCGTTATTATAGGGAGCCCTGGGGCCCAGCCCCCCAACTTCCTGTCAAGGCCCTCCCACTTCCTATTTAGCCCAGGCCCCTCAACTTGCTGGAGCTGGCAGTGCAGAGCTCCAGGTGAGGCCAGCACTTGGAGAAGAATCAGCACCACAGGAAGCCGGTAGGCAAGCTGGGACCGGCAGGAACTTCACGCAGAGTGCTATTCTGAAAGCAGAAAGGAAGCTGGGGACGGTGCAGGCCATGGAGGCAGCAAAAGCCAGCCCGCGGGGGGCTGGTGCCGATGAGCCAAGGGTGGAGCAGGGCATCCGTGCCGCACACACCCTTCCATGGCCACCACCAGGGAATGCACCACCTGCCTGCTTGCATCTGTCCTGGCTGGGAGGCAGAAGGAGAGAGGCGGGCGAGTCCCCACAGGGGAGGGCAGGATCCCACAGACTGGCCGGGGGGAAGGGGCGCTCCAGAATCAGACTGCAAATGGGGAGAAGCAACCCAGGTGCTTTCAGAAGGGACTCACTACCCCCTTCCACGGCTCCTTGCTTCAGGGGGGGGAGCTGTCATGGTGGGGGGGAGGACGGGCAAGCACTGCTCTGTCCCACAGGAATGTGGCGCCCTTCCCTCCAGCCACCACATGGGAAGACCAGCAGGGACCAGCCAGCCTATATGAGTTTTTAAAAAAATTATTTCAGTGCCCCTCGACTTTTTAAAAGGCCCCCAAATTAAAAAATCTCAGCTAAGGGCCTGACCAGCTATCAAGTTCTAGATTCTTTCCTTGTGGAGTGATAAAGGCAGGTTACAGGTTCTGCCACACACAAAAAACCACTTATAACTGAGGAAGGAATACTCCTTGCAGCCTCTTCCTTTAATTCAGTGCCTACCCTTCAGAACATCTTATTATTTATTAAATTTATTAATTACCCCATCCCAGCTTGCGTCGGGCTCTGGGCAATGTACAAAGGGGCATAATACCATAAAATATACAAAACATTAACATTCAATATACAGCTTAATAAAAATTTAAATTCAGAATAAAAGATCCAAGATGGCATCCTGTAATTTTTTTTAAAATCCCAATTGTGGACTACCAGCCAATTTTCTGGGCAGGGGAAAAGGGAACTCAGAACAAAAGCGTGTGTGTGTGTTAGAGGAAGGGTGCTAGCCAATAAGGAAACCGTTGGTGCCCTCAACCAAAAGCCTGGCAGAACATAGGTATTATGTGCCCTGCAACTATTCTTGCCTTCTGCATAACCTGGTCTCTAAGACTGGCCCTTCGATGAGCTTTTTACACATGAAAATAGACAAGGTAACACAGAATTGGGGGGGGGGGGGGAACCAAGGAAAGAAAATTTCAGGGGCCCGTAGAGCTGTGCAAGGCATGCCATTTTGAGTTTATATATGGGACTGAGTCTTTCCAGTTACGCAAGTCCTCCCCCTCCACTGGAGGGTTGCAGAAAGCTTCTAGTCTCCAAACGTCTTGTGCGCTTGGAACTACCCAATTCAGTGCCGCAATCATGGCCTCTTGTAAAAATCTCTTTTCTGCCTAACCTGCACAGTCGCCAGGCGTTAGGCCGCTTCCAAAGCGAACCTCTCCATCAGTCTCATCCCGCACAGGACGTGACGCCTTAGCCAGGACACGAGAGCCCTGGAGGACAGAAACATTCTCCTCCAACTCAGAAATCTGAAGGCTCTAATTTAGGGAAAGGAGTCTGAAAAATAATGGTGGGACGGTAAAAGCTGTCAGAGCTCAGGACGATGCACGCCGTGTCTCTCCTACTTTATTCCTACAACAACCCTGTCAGGGGAGGCGAGTCTGAAAAAGCGGGACTGGGCCAAGGTCACTTCGCGGCGGGGGGAAATTTGCACCCACGTCTCCCCAGTTCCAACCTGAAAAAACCAGGAAGGTTCAGAACAATGAAGAACCAGGGCCTGCCGCTAAAGAATCGAGGTTACGCACAGTGATGGCAGCCAGACAACCGCCTCTCCCGCACCCCTCGCTCTAGGCCGCGCGGCTTTCCCTTCTCCACTCCCGCCATTAGGCCCCAAGGTGACCCCGCCCTCTGCTGCCTTCCCGCACTCACGAGCCGCGGCGGCAGCCCCAGCAGCGCCACCCCGCAGCAGCAGCAGGTCCTGGAGCGGGCTAGATACGCTCCGCGCGCCCCGCAGCAGGGAGGCGGCCGAAGAGGCACAGCAGCGACCCGCGAGCCCCAACATGGCGGTCACCGGCTGACTGAAAGAACAGTCCCAGCGCCAGCCTGGATCTGTTGCAGCCGGGGCGGGATCAGGGAATCTGAATCTTCTATTGGTCGGGAGCGTTTGGCTACCTAGAGTTTATTGGACACCAGCCTTGTCACCTGTCTACTGGAAGGACTATATAGCGCCGGAAAAAAGGGGAGGAGCTATGAGACATTGTCCTATTTGCCAAAGGGCCTGCTCTTCACCAGAACTACGTGTTTCATTTAAAAAAAAAATCCACTCGGTAACTGGCGAGAAAAGAATACCCTCCCATTGGGATAGGGATAGCCAATGAAAAGTACGAAAGGGGGCAGAGGCAATGTTTTTAAAGGCGCCGTCCTTACGAGAGCTGACATCATGGATTTGTCTTTTCCTGCTTGGGCAGGTTTCATTATTTCTTCAGGGCGCAGGGCCCGCTAACTATCAGAAACAAGGGAAACAAGAACTAGAAAAGGAATGCTAGTTCCAGTTTAAAATTCAGCGCTCTTAAAGTGTGTGTGGGTTGCTGACTTACTCGGGAGTAAGTCAGCAACCTTACGTAGAAGGTGATTCTTTCCTGGAGTAGAACTGGAGGCATACCGGTGTCACGCACACAAAACGACAAATAGTTTCTCAGTCTGCTTCCAGACAATGGACAAGCATGGTCTTTCAAACCGTGACTCAGCTGGGTTACTACACTGTGTCCCTCTCCCCAGTCAGTCAGGAACAGGACCGTACTTTCTGGACACTGGGAATGCTTTTGGGATTTCCGGATATTGTCAGCTGTAGTGCAGGTAGAATCCGGGATACTCTGGTCATTCTCTTTCTTGGGATGTGGTACAATCCCTATGAGCCAGTTTGGTGTAGTGGTTAAGTGCGTGGGACTCTTAATCTGGGAAAACCGGGTTTGATTCCCCACTCCTCCACTTGCACTTGGCTGGATGACCTTGGGCAAGCTGTAGTTCTGATAAGAGCTGTTCTTGAAAAAGAGCAGTTTCTGTCAGAGCTCTCTCAGCCTCACCTACCTCACAGGGTGTCTGTTGTGGGGAGAAGGCAAAGGAGTTTGTAAACAGCTTTGAGAAACCTTTGGGTAGTGAAGGATGGGGTATAAATCCAATCTCTTCTTCCATGTTAGCAGTGCCTGTTCCCAATGAAGCACATAACCATTTACCTGCAAAGTAGGGTCGCCAGCTCTGAGTCTGGACATTCCTGGAGATTTGCAAATAGAGCCTGGGGAAGGCAGGGTATAATACTTTAGAGTCCACCCTCCAAAGCAGCCATTTCCTCCAGGGTAATAGATCTCTATAGTGTGGAAATCAGGTGTAATCCTAGGAGATCTCTAGGTCCCACTTAGAGATTGGCAACCCTAGGAAGATGTATCCAACATGTGTCTAACATGGTTGCTCAGTTTGTCAAGGCAAATTTCAGCTCCTCTAATTTATGATATTGCGTTAAAGGTACAGGATCCATGACAGAACACAAGGGAAGTCACCAACCTTTGCTTTAGTTCCAGAATAGTGGTGCCATTTTTCCAAACAGGGAAACGGTACAATTCCTTCCTCAAATCATCACTATACTTCTTGAGTGTATATCTACCCCATAATGTCCTTTACCAGCCATCATACTCGTGAGCAGGGTGTTCAAGTGACAAAAATTAATCCCACAGAGTGACAGGAGAAAACAGGGATTAAAAAAAAATCAAGCAAGATGCAGGATTGTTTTAAAACAATGCTTGCTAAAAGTGTTTTGCTGTGATTTCCAGGTTTTGATAGCCATGGTTCAGTGGTAAAGGGGCTGTGGCTCAGTTGGCAGGGCATCTGCCATGCATACAGAAGGTCCCAGTTTCAATCCTTGGTATCTCGTTATACTGAACCAGGCAGTAGGTGATGCAAAATACCTTGACCCAAGACCCCGGAGAGCTGCTATCAGTCTGAGTAGACAGTAGTCAACTTAATGGACTGATGCTTTGATTCAGTACAAGGCAGCTTCATGTATTCATGTATAATGGCCAGGATGATGACTTCACACCATACAACTCTAACTTTCACCACTGAAACCCAGTCTCTTATCTATTACATTTGTATCTCAACCTTTTTCCAAGGACCTCAAGGTAGCAAAAGTGTGCGTGGGTTGCTGACTTACTCGGGAGTAAGTCAGCAACCTTACGTAGAAGGTGATTCTTTCCTGGAGTAGAACTGGAGGCACCGGTGTCACGCACACAAAACGACAAAGTTTCTGTCTCCTTCCAGACAATGGACAAGCATGGTCTTTCAAACCGTGACTCAGCTGGGTTACCACTGCATCACTGTGTCCCTCTCCCCAGTCAGTCAGGGACAGGACCGTACTTTCTGGACACTGGGAAATATTTTTGGGATTTCTGGGCATTGTCAGCTGTAGTGCAGGTAGAATCCGGGATACTCCAGTACAAGGCAGCTTCATGTATTCATGTATAATGGCCAGGATGATGACTTCACACCATACAACTCTAACTTTCACCACTGAAACCCAGTCTCTTATCTATTACATTTGTATCTCACCCTTTTTCCAAGAACCTCAAGGTAGCAGCACATATGAGGGTTTCTTTTTTTATGCTCATAGCAATCTCATGAGACAACTGAGTCTGAGGGAAAAATCACTGAATTAATTTAACAGCTGAATGGGCTTTTGAACCAGCTAAAATCCATAGTGGCAAATGATTTCCCAGACTTCAGTTCTACAGGATGAACAAAAGTAAAAAGTAAACCAGCCCAAACCCATTTAAATCAGCTCAAACTGCATGAATAATCTTTTAAAAAATTAAATGATCCCATCTTAACCATTCCTCCAGAACAAGGACAGCAATACAGTTATGTCAATTTACATGTGTTTGTCCTCCTTTTCGATCTCATTTGGACAAACTCTTTAAAGTCTGCCTTCTTGTCTTTTCTTGCTTTCCTCCATTTGCTTGTTAACCACTTTGCCATCACAGCTTTAATTATAATGATTGGAACTATCTTTCAAGTGTCCTGAGGAGATCTGACCGTCTCATTATTCCCTTTCAAGTGATCTCCTAATTTCTGAGATTTCCTCTTTTGAAATAAAATATGACCCTGTTGATTTTCTGGACAACATGGCATTGGAAATATTTTGAATTCTATAGTGATATGGTCACTGTTTCCACTTGGTTTGACAACATACACATCTCTTCTGCTTCCAGGCTCTGTTCAGGATTACCAGCAGTAAAGCATAAATCCAATCTCCTCTTCTTCTTTCACGTTAGCAATGCCTGTTCCCAATGAAGCACAGAACCACTTACCTGCAAAGTAGGGTTGACTGATGTATATTAGGATGAATGTGTTTAAACAGTCTGAAATTGTTTGAAGCGGTATACGTAAAAGTGATCCAAGCAGAGCTACTTGGAAATTTTGGTGCTTTTCAAACATATTCTTTCTGAAACTACTTCTGTATGGTATGAACAGACCAGGTGTTGTTGTTTTTTTAATTTCCAGGCTACTGTTTATTATACAGATAACATTAAACTGGAAAAAATATACTAAATGCAGAGAAGCCTTATTGTTTCTAGTACTGCAACTGCTGCTCTTCCAAACTCTGCAGAGAACTAGGTTTGCTTAGGCGTGGATGGGAAAGACCAGATGACTCTTTGAACAGGTCTATTAGACTCAGCGCCTTTTCAAATCCAATGCTCACAAGAAAAACACAAGTCCTTGCTACATCGCTACCCTGAAATCATGCACAGAAAGACAAGCATCTTGTAACAAGGTTCAATTCCTATAAAGCCACAGGTGGGATAAGGATAAAGACCGGGCTAGCAGAAAGAAAGGCACCCATTTTGCCAAGGAAAGTAATCCCAGCCTGCGCAGACCTGCAAAAGATTGTACAGTTAAGAGATCAAGGCATCTGTTATGAATATAATGTTAGGACTCATGGAGATCACCAACTTTGGAGATATCATATAGGCTTACTAAGGGTAATTATCACTAAACATGCACACAGTTTTCTCTCACAAAATGACATAACTGTAGTTCATCTAATGGAGCAAAGAAAAGGGAACTGATGGAGGACTCCAGAATTTCTTTCTTTATTATGAGGATATAGAGAAGTGGCACCAGGTTCAATCCCCAACACCTCCCGTTGAAAGGACCAGGTGAAAGATCTCTGCCTTGAGACCCAGGAGAACCTCTGCCAGACCAAGCAGACGATACTGGCTTTGATTCAGTACAAGGCAGCTTCATGTATTCATGTATAATGGCCAGGATGATGACTTCACACCATACAACTCTAACTTTCACCACTGAAACCCAGTCTCTTATCTATTACATTTGTATCTCACCCTTTTTCCAAGAACCTCAAGGTAGCAGCACATATGAGGGTTTCTCTTTTTATGCTCATAGCAATCTCATGAGACAACTGAGGCTGAGGGAAAAATCACTGAATTAATTTAACAGCTGAATGGGCTTTTGAACCAGCTAAAATCCATAGTGGCAAATGATTTCCCAGACTTCAGTTCTACAGGATGAACAAAAGTAAAAAGTAAACCAGCCCAAACCCATTTAAATCAGCTCAAACTGCATGAATAATCTTTTAAAAAATTAAATGATCCCATCTTAACCATTCCTCCAGAACAAGGACAGCAATACAGTTATGTCCATTTACATGTGTTTGTCCTCCTTTTCGATCTCATTTGGACAAACTCTTTAAAGTCTGCCTTCTTGTCTTTTCTTGCTTTCCTCCATTTGCTTGTTAACCACTTTGCCATCACAGCTTTAATTATAATGATTGGAACTATCTTTCAAGTGTCCTGAGGAGATCTGACCGTCTCATTATTCCCCTTCAAGTGATCTCCTAATTTTTGAGATTTCCTCTTTTGAAATAAAATATGACCCTGTTGATTTTCTGGACAACATGGCATTGGAAATATTTTGAATTCTATAGTGATATGGTCACTGTTTCCACTTGGTTTGACAACATACACATCTCTTCTGCTTCCAGGCTCTGTTCAGGATTACCAGCAGTAAAGCACTGGCCAATACCACCAGTGCTTCTCCAAGCTTCAGTTCTGTAGACTAAGTGGAACTAAATTCTGAAGCTGTTGGTAAACTATACAAGTCTGATGTATATTAGGATGAATGTGTTTAAACAGTCTGAAATTGTTTGAAGCGGTATACATAAAAGTGATCCAAGCAGAGCTACTTGGAAATGTTGGCGCTTTTCCAACATATTCTTTCTGAAACTACTTCTGTATGGTATGAACAGACCAGGTGTTGTTGTTTTTTTAATTTCCAGGCTACTGTTTATTATACAGATAACATTAAACTGGAAAAAATATACTAAATGCAGAGAAGCCTTATTGTTTCTAGTACTGCAACTGCTGCTCTTCCAAACTCTGCAGAGAACTAGGTTTGCTTATGCTTGGACTGGAAAGACCAGATGACTCTTCGAACATGTCTATTAGACTCAGCACCTTTTCAAATCCAATGCTCACAAGAAAAACACAAGTCCTTGCTACATTGCTACCCTGAAATCATGCACAGAAAGACAAGGATCTTGTAACAAGGTTCAATTCCTATAAAGCCACAGGTGGGATAAGGATAAAGACCAGGCTAGCAGAAAGAAAGGCGCCCATTTTGCCAAGGAAAGTAATCCCAGCCTGCACAGACCTGCAAAACATTGTCCAGTTAAGAGATCAAGGCATCTGTTATGAATATAATGTTAGGACTCATGGAGATCACCAACTTTGGAGATATCATATAGGCTTACTAAGGGTAATTATCACTAAACATGCACACAGTTTTCTCTCACAAAATGACATAACTGTAGTTCATCTAATGGAGCAAAGAAAAGGGAACTGATGGAGGACTCCAGAATTTCTTTCTTTATTATGAGGATATAGAGAAGTGGCAAGCCTGAAAGTCAGGGTTGTTTCCATCATGGCCTTGGATGGCTTTGGAGATTAATGAATTAGAACGGAGTATCTGGGCGCCAAGGCTCCTGGGTTTTCAGGGAGGATGGATGGATTCGGTACTCTGAAGCTGAGTGAGGACAGAAAACCAGTTGCTTGTGTTGCCTTCCAATGATGTCAGGTGCACATTCTCATGGGCATCAGAGTGCCAGAGTGTCCTTAATGAGGCGCCGCATGGTGGTGGTGACAGAAGTCCCAAGTGAGTCAGTGATCTGGTAAGAAATCTTATACAGGTAGGGCTGGACATCCCGCAACCCAGTGTCGAACACATTGTCCACCTCCGATTGGGTGGGCATCTTGGGTAGGTACTCATGCCGGTTCATCACCTCCACAATATTGATGATTTTCTCACAGAGTTTCTCACCCACCTTCTCACGACAGATCTGTCGCTCCTGCTCATTAGCCAGGCTCACCACATTCACTTTGACCGTCCACACTTCCCAGGGGATGCACTCATCTGAGAAAGGCCACCGTGACTTCTTCTTCTGATAAAACTCCAGTGAGATCTGGCCTATCCCATCGTTGCCAGAGTTTCGCAGAGCATCCTGGGAAAATAAAACCACAGTGTGTGATTTACAGTGAAATCCTAAAAATGTATACTCAGATGTAAATCCCACGGCATTCAACAGGACTTCCTCCCTCCCTAGTAAGTATGCTTGAGATTGCAGCATTTGAAGACTGATTCTCCAGGTATCCCTTATGCTACATAGAAATATCTGATCCATGCACCAAGAATCATGTCATGCATTCACCAAGGACTACACATAGTTGCATGACCACCTTACGGATAATGTGACAGCTTCCCAGAACTTGGAGAATCAAGCAAGATGCAGGATTGTTTCAAGACCATATTTACTAGAAAAGGGTTTGACTGTGATCCCAGTCTTCAATGACCATTATGATGACTTCATACCATACAATACCATGAAACCCAAACCCTGCCTTACAACCATAGTTGTCCATTGCCCTGACCCGGATAGCCCAGGCAAGCCCAATCTCGTCACATCTCAGAAGCTAAGCAGGGTCAATTCTGGCAAGTACTTGGATGGGAGACCGCCTTGAAATATCAGAGGTGGGAGGCGGGGGCAGGCTTTATTCAGTCACCTCTCTGAATATCCACCAGGCCCCCAGTAGGGGTTAGTCACCAGAGGTCACCATGACTTCCAGGTACACACTCACACGTGTACACACACACACACACACACACTCACACACACACACACACTCTCTCTCTCTCTCTCTTAAAAAATACAACCCCCCCAACCATAATTGTCCTTTGTGCCCATAACTGTGCTCAGAATCCCATTTTCTTTCTCATCTAATGTTCAGTAGCCTGGGTTTTATGTGACTGTTATTATGTACCTTGACATATTTATGTCTATTTTATGTACCTATTTTATCCCCCTTTGGTATCCTCTTGGTCAAGACTTCGGTCATAAAGACCTGTAATAAATTGAATTGAATTGAAAATAAACAAGAAAAATTCGGCTACTCTATTTAAGTACATCGTATCACAATACGAGATCTTGAGGACAGACTGCTAAGCTTCCTCCACTGAACAGTTAACCAAAATGTGGTGCTTGCAGAAATGTGTACAACTTTCAGATGTAAAACAGAAATAAGTTAGCGATCATCATAAGATGTATTTCAAAACATTTGTTTTGAAAGCACCCCCACCCAAGCAGTCCTGGTGACAAATGTAATAAATGCTCAAGGATAGTTGTTTTAAAAAGTAGTTACAGAAAGATACATGATATAATTAGTTATCCTCAAAAGAGGAATTCTTGGCCATGTTAGAGTGTTACGGAAAATTGAGAATCAGTGTCAGAAAAGGTAGGGGTCACCATCTGGATCCCTATTACCAATTACCAAGTTTACCCTGATCCCAATTACTTTACCTTTACTTTTGCCCACATAAACGGTTGGTTACCACTGAATCTTGTGGTGAAAAGAAAAGTGAGGCAATTAGGGATAAACCCAGTGACTAGATGGCTAGGTTATCACTGACAAAGTTTCTGCTGCATTAAGTATCCAAGGGCTCTTTCTGTCCTGAGAGTACAAACAGAAATGTTTGTACTTTCCAGGGATTCTTGCAGTTTACTAGTACTCCCTCCATACATAACCTCAGTCATTATAATGATTAGCTTTTTAGTAGTCACAAGCATGAAGAACAATGTCTTGTCTCTTTAACATAGATTTAATGGGATATTATTTACCACAAGGTGCCCATTTCCACATGTTAAGCCTCTATTAAATGGACAGGACATTTTTTTTCCTCCGGGCCAGCTGGCAGCCCTAGTCCAAGAAAAACTAACAGTAAGATATTAATAAAAATAAAATAACACCTAGACATAGAACACTGTACCTTGAATTCCCCAACAGCCTTTTTCAATGCCCGGTCCAGCTCTTCTGAAGAAACCCTGACATAGGTAAAATCAATGAAGTCACAGTCAACATCTTGTGTGCCAACTGTTCCAATGGAGTAGGTTCCTTCCTTTTTGTAATGGAATTTCCCTGTGCTGCGGTGGAGAAGTATGGTATGCAACACAGCCAGCATAGCTTCTTCGATTTGACGACCCTCCACCGACACCTCCAGCACCTCTGAACGACAGTTCATCTTGGCTTTTGCAAAGGAAGGTTAAACAATAGTATGACTGACACTGAGAATAGCAGGAGTATCCAATACCAAAATATTATATTCTTTAAAATAATGGTTTTACAGAAAAGGTCGATCTTTTGATTAGCGAAAAATGGTATTGGTGGGGGGGGGGGGGAGGATCTGATCAAGACAGACCAAAGATCTGGATTTAGTTCATTTCTTTGCCACAGCCTCAGTTGATGCAAAGAAGGCACCAATATCATATTGAAATACTGTAATTACAACACCAGTTAATTATGTTAGATCCCAAATTTTAATTTTATGGGTTTTAATATCTAGTCCATTAACCGATTTAAAGACTTTTGGTAGATTATTTCCGTGAGCAGTCATATTTTTAAAGAGCCAGTGTGGTGCGGTAGTTAAGAGCAGCAGACTCTAACCTGGAGAACTGGGTTTGATGCCCCACTCCTCCACATGGAGGGCCAGTCACACTCCACCCTTGGGCCCGGCACTGTTCTCGCAGAACTCACTCAGGCCTGCCTACCTACCTCACACGGTGCCTGTTGTGGGGAGAGGAAGTGAAGGCAATTATAAGCCACTTTGAGGCACCTTAGGGTAGAGAAAAGTGGAGTATAAAAAGCTCCTCCTCCTCTTCTATATTATTTCCAATACTACTTAAAAACTGCACATAAAGCTGCCTTATATTCAATCAGTTTGAGTAATATATTCAGTATATCAGTGCCAGAGTTCCCCACTTTGACTGAAGGCAGCTCTCCAGGGTCTCAGGTAGAAGTCTTTCATATCACCCACTAACTGGTCTTTTAACTGGATATACCAGGAATGGAACCTGGGACCAATGCTCTCTCTAAGCTGTGAAGTCTTGTGAGCAAAAATTCTACTTTGTGAGCTACTGGCAATAAAGTCGTGAGCGAACGATTCGGCTGCTGCATAAATTAGTTTGCTCTGGAGCCATCCTTCCTGAGCTAAGACAAAAATGTGTGAGCCAGAGGCTTAAAAAACTGTGAGCTAGCTCACACTAACTCAGCTTAGAGGTAACACTGCCTGGGATCCTCTGCTTGTGAAGGTCAGATGCTCTATCACTGAGCCTTGACTCCTACGTGACAAGCACCATTTTAAAAGAGCTACTTTTACACCCGTATGCATCACCTAAGAACCAAGAAAGAAAGCTTTTCTTTTTGTAATATTGTCTGAAAATTGATTCATAGATTAAAACACATACAATTTAAGGTTTATTTAAGCAAGCAAAGCCTTAGTTAATTTGTAAAAAGACAGCTGCAGTTGACAGGAGAGTTGCTAAAGGTTCCCTGCTCTGGACTTTGGCAGCAAAAAACAGGGGACGAAGTGAAGGATTCACAATTAGGAGACTCAGTGAGGAAAGCAAACCATGTATTTTCTGTGGCCACACCTCCAACCAGACATCTGGAGAGCCCCTAACTTAAAAGAAGACAATAAGTAACAGTTCCATTGCCTAGCCTTAGGAATTAGCCTCCTATAGAAATCCAAACATTAATTGTGCAGTGCAGTCGTAAACAGAGCCAATCCTGTTTAAGATCATTGACTGCAATGGATTTAGAAGTGTAATTCTGTTCAGGATTGCACTGTTATTGTCAGAGAGCAGGCGAGTTAAAATTTGAGGACATGCAATAAAACTGATGGGCAGTAGGTTCAGGACAGACAAAAGGAAATACCACTTTACACAGAAAGTGATTAAAATGTGGAATTCACTGCCAGAGGATGTAGTGATGGCCATAGGAATAAACAGCTTTAAAAAGGGAATAGATAGATTCATGGAGGATAAGTCTATCAATGGCTACTAGCCATGGTGACCGAGGGGAACCTCCACATTCAGAGGCACTAATCCTCTGAATCCCAGAGCCGGGAGGCAACATAAGGGGAAGGCCTCGGCCTGTATGCCCCGTTGTTGGCCATTCAGAGGAACTGTTTGGCCACTGCGTGAGACAGGATGCTGGAACAGATGGACTTCTGATCCAGCAGGGTTCTACTTATGTTCTTCTGTTCTAAACAAGTGTGCACATTGCCCCCTAGTGGTTTACACAGTCACTTCATTTGGAAATACCACCAGTGGATTACCCCTTTTGATTGGATTAGCAGAAGCATTTTCCTCATGAACATAAGAGAAGCCATGTTGGATCAGGCCAATGGCCCATCCAGTCCAACACTCTGTATTACACAGTGGCCAAAACCCAGGTCCCATCAGGAAATCCACCAGCAGGGCCAGAACTACAGAAGCCCTCCCACTGTTGCCCCCCAAGCACCAAGAATACAGAACATTACTGCCCCAGACATAGTGCTCCATCTATACCTTGTGCCTAATAGCCACTGATAGACCTCTGCTCCATATGTGGATCCAATCCCCTCTTAAAGCTGTCTATGCTTGTAGCTGCCACCACTTCCTGCAGCAGTGAATTCCAGGTGTTAATTATTCTGTGGGTGAAGAAGTACTTTCTTTTATCTGTTCTAAGATGAGGGCCCAAGAATTTTTGTACTGTGAGGGAAGTATTTCTTTCTCTTCCTTCTCTATCCCATGCATAATTTTGTAAACCTCTATCTTAATGCTTAATGTTGGGTAAAACATAGCACAAAGGGATCAACAGAATTTCCACTTCCATGCCAGGAATTAAGATCAGTAAGTGGGTCCCAAACATGTTTTTCTCATGTTTACTTAGGACAGAAATACTCAAACGTAATACTATTTGTTTTGAAATAAATAGAATAAAGGAGTGATGGAAATGTTTTCCAGTGACGGAGTGATCTCAGGTTGCAAACCAATGCACACTGTTTATTCCGTAAGATCCATTGAAATCAGTGGGATCTGTTTGTGAGTAAACATGCATAGGCTCCGGCTACATCCAATTCAGATTATTTGAATTGGGGTCTGGAGTGAGAATACATCTCTCTCACTCCTTATCTCTCAGTAGCACTGTAAAAGACAGGAGGGAAATCAACTGGCCAGAAAAAGCTATTCAGTCCCTTTGACAAGGCTCTAATATGCAGAAAACAGCAAGTGAAACTTTTTGTGGCAAGCAGTTAAGCATGATCACCTACTAGCTGTCTCAGAATATATTGCCCTTAAAGGAAAAAGCTACAAGGGCTAGATCAAACCCAGGCAATCAGAAACATGGTAGTTAACATGAGGACCCAAAGCAGCTTACTCTTCGGTCCTCCATTTTATCCTCACAACAATCCTGTGAGGTAGGGTTAGGCTGAGAATGTCTGACTGGCTATGTCCCCGAATGTTCCGGGGATTCAATGGGAGAGAGGCCGTTTGGTTGTTAAGGCAACCAACAGTACAAAGGTGGGCTCGCCGCGCAGGAGAGGGGTGTCCGTCAAAGGACAAGGACCCCTTTCCAGGTAGAAACAAGAGGCTCACCTGGCCCTGCTGCTGATGCTTCTCAAGATGATCCAGCCTAACACTTGGACCAGCCCAATTACGCAAAAATGGAAAAGAGTCCTCCAAAAAGCGTCAACCTGTCTTTTTGGAAAAAAGCAGTGTTGTTTCTTTCGCGTCATAAATATATGTTACTACATTACAATTTACCTACTCACCACATTTTATTTATGCATTTCCCCCTCTTTCCCGCTGTTTATAGTTTTCGACCTCAGGGTCTCCCCCCATCTGCTCTTAGTACGTTCCAACAAAACAAACCGCAGCTAAAACCCTGGAAAGGAATGTACCAGCGGCAATTTCCTGGTTCTGGGAGTCGATGGAGCTCTCGGCTGCCACCTACAGCTGGGGAGGATTCGTAGCTACTGATTAATGGAGCGGCTGCTTACTTTCTGTGTCGTGCTAGGAACATTTGCACTTGGGATCTCAAGCAGAAAAGACCCTCCTTTACCTGGAAATGCCAGAAAGTGTTGCTGGGACTGGCTGCCAACTAGGGAAAGTTAACTACAGCTTCAGCTTCTTCCAGAGTCGAACTAGGATCTGGTGGGACACCCACGTTCGAATCCCCACTCTTCCTTAGAGACTCACTGGGTGACCCTGTGTTAGTCACACACTCTCAGTTTAACTTGCTGTTGTGATGATAAAATGGGGAATGTTGTAAGCCGCTATGGATCCCGGCTGGGAAGAAACGCTTTACCTGTTACCTGAAATGCCAGAGAATGAATCTGGCATCTTTTGCAAGCAAAAAGCACAGGCTCTCCCAGCACATCTTTTTGCTTTTGTGTTTATTGCTATATTCAACGCCCAGTGTCTGAGTACTCTTTTAAAAACGACTGTTTTGTTTCGTGAAGGCGGGGGAAGGAGAGAACTCATGACCTCCAGACCTGCTCTTGGGAACGCGTCGCCATTTTTACGACTGGTACAGGCAGAAACAGTCGATTTCTCTCAAATTGCTCACGCAGCCTCCCAAGACTGCGCATGGCCAAGACGTTTTGTCGCGCGCGGTCCTCAGCGGAAGGTGAATGTGCGGTTATGGGAAAGTTTGAAGCAGAAGTGCGTGAAGCCTCTACTTGTTGATACGGGCTCTGGCGGCCTGCGGTCAGGGTGATGCGTTGCAAAAGTTTTTATCCCTTTATTTCCATTGTTGTTTCTTCTTTTCTCTTACATGTTGTGTGCATTTTTTGTTTGAATAAGACACACGGCACGTATCTATTTTATTTTTTTATCCTGCCCCGATTCCAGGGGATTTTGGGCACCTTAAGGAATCCTCTCTCCTTTCTGATCGCAATATGTTGTCCCTCTTTGGTGAGTTTTGGCATGGTAGCTGCTCTCTGTGGAGGAGTGTGTGCTCTAGCCCTGCACTCCTAGTGCTGGGGGTCGCACTCAGCATAACCAAGGGTATTATGAGGGTAATAATGTCAGTTACTTTGGGTCACCACTGGGGAGAAAGGTGGGGTATAAATGGAGTTAATAAGCAATACCATCTCGAGGGGAATAAAAGATTATGGCACCGTTCACACGGAGGATTTGCCATGGGAGAGCGACAAGTGCATGGCCGGCGCGATCACACCGCAACAGCTGGGAAGTGGAGCGCACCCGTGGCGTACCACCGAAAATGCAGGATTAAAAACTACCTGCTCGGAGGTACTAGCAACCAGGCTGCCTCCGGAGTCCCTTGGTGAGATCGTGCCAGCCCCGGCTTTTCCTTCCGGCCCCTTGATGCGCGGAAGGAAGGAACGATAGCATGCCGACGCATGGGATCGTGTTATGGCGGCTCGGAGTGCTGCAGTGCAAAAAGGCCCCCCCCCCCCCCCCCCCGTGTTATCCAGCCCGTGTGACCGGCGCCTCCGATGGGCCTGCCAAAAATCTTCCCTGAAGTTGGAAAATAGGTGATTGTAGCAATGCTGTCTGTAGATCCACAATTTTTTAAAACTCTGCTTTTGTTTCTACGGCATAGTATTGCTAAAATGGCAAGCACCATTACTAAAATTGTCAAGAGAATACAAATTGGAGGCAGGATGTTTAAAGGGTAAATATTTCCAGGAATATCCAGAACATGTGGGGAGGGGAAGGGGAAAAAGTTTGTAAATTGTTCTGAGACACCGAGTGAAGGGCGGGGTATAAATCCAATCTATTATTTTCTTCTATAACATTTTTTACAACATGACTCAATGCAGTTCACACCTTTTCATTTCTCTAAAGAGATCACTAAGTTCCTTCACATTAAGGTAATATGGTGACACCTGTACAACAGGTATCAGAGTAGACTAGAGAAATACAATGGGAAAAATTGAACTGTCCCAAGTATTTTTAAGGAAGCAAAAAGAGGAGATACACGGTATGGAGAAAATTAACAAAAGACCAGAAACCTGTGAATATAATAACAAAGAATTTATAAAAATAGTATATGACCCCTAAAGAAGAAGAGGAGGTGGAGTTTGGACTTATACCCCAGCCTTCACTCAGAGTCTCAGAGCGGCTTACAAAGTCCACCCACTTAACCACTACACCACACCACAAATGTTATTAATGAAGAATATTTTACTAAATGTCTCTGGTGTCAGTTCAATTTTTCAAGACACCTCAAAGCCCTAACAAAATTCTTATCTGAAGCAGTCCTTCCCAGTGAAGCAATAAAGTCCAATGTTGATGGAGCCAAAGTGATCCTGCACTGGTAAAAATTCCGTTTCCACAGTGACTCCTGCAGTATTGCAACCAAACATAATTAATCCATAATACATTCAGTATTCCTACTTCTTAGTTTGGTCTGGTAAAGCAGACCCCAAACTTTCAAAGAACGCTATGTAGCATTCTGTATCATTGACCAAGCAGCAAATGGCCATTTACCTGGGTCTCCAAACTACAAGCTGGAAATAGCCAAAATATTCAAAGAATACAGAAGTGTTTTCACGAGGAAAAGGGAGTTAGAGACACTGAAGTGGAATACCGACGAGTTAGGTTGTGTGTTGCTCTAAACAGTGGCTGTAGAACCAGAAGGCTATCTAGAAGATTGTCATCAGCTCAAGGATTTATGACTTTATGTGAAAATGCCAAGTACTTGACATGCAGAAAGTATACAAAGATGAGAGGTGACCCCTGACAGGAGTGTGCAGTTAAAAGTGAGATGAGAAGATCCTGGCAGTTACCAGTGGAAACACAGGAGCTACAGAGACCCATTGCCAAGCTTCTTGCTGCAAGGATATGCATCAGGGCATTAAACTAAGAAGACAGGAGCAAGGATGGGAGTGGTATGAAACAGACGGAGCTACAGAGACCCATTGCCAAGCTTCTTGCTGCAAGGATATGCATCAGGGCATTAAACTAAGAAGACAGGAGCAAGGATGGGAGCGGTATGAAACAGAGTAATTAATGGTGTACAAGGACTGAAACCACAAGTTTATTATGCAGATCTTTTTTAGTATACATGTGTCTGGTCCCCTTGTCACAGCGATAAATCCAATACACGTTTTAAGCAAAGTAGTATTTTATTAAAGCCATGATAGAGCAGGAGCAAGTTCACTGTCCAGAATGCCTGGGTCAGGGTGGGCAAGGAATAATGTAATACATTCAAACAAAGCCATAACCAATAATCTCCATTCCCGCCGAGCGGGCAGACCTCAGTTTCCGCGCGCAAAAGCCTGAGAAGCAACGTTCCCTAAAACCAAAACAATTACAGCTTCACACGGAATGGCTCATTATACAGTTAGCAAAGCATCTCTCCCCACACACCTGTTAATCTTGCAGATAAGCGTTGCCTAGCAGTAGCGGGACATGGAATGCATGGGAGCAGACTACACACAGGGGAAGGAAGGGCATGCGCAGATGCCCGAGGTGGCAGGGGCCTGACAGCTTCCCAATCTTCTATGGCAGCTAGCTGACAACATGCAGGTTACAATGAACAAAAGTTAGAGTCCAGTGTCACCTTTAAGACCGACAAAGTTTTTTTAAGGTATGAGCTTTCGTGTGCATGCACACTTCCTCAGATACGATGAAATGGAAATTACCAGTCATTACATATAGGTAGAGAGTGAGCAGTAAATTCACATATAACATAATGAAGATGTTTAACAGATTCAGGAATAAAAAGCTTAGGTTATATGGTTATATTTGTTTGGGTTCAATGCAGGGTGGGGGGGGAACATAGTGAAGGAAATAAATATGTCTACATTGGAGATTGGTGTATCCTTAATTGTGGAGCACTGAGAGTAATTAACTGAGACCCTGCCATTATGCTCCATCTGTCTCCTCTCAAGCATGGAGGCAACCTTACAGCATCATCTTCTTTGAAGTGGGACAATTGGCTGTATAGGGTTATTCCCCCCCAGTTCCCAGACCAGAGAAGTACTTTCAATCTATGGTTCCAAATTACATTACATTCTACTATTCGTTACTTTACAATCTGCTATTCTAATCTATTATTCCAATTAAGAAATAAAATAAAGAGGATGTATGGCCCTTCTGGGGGATTGGTGAGAATACAGATGTAAGGGCTGAATGTAGTTATATTCCTGAAGGCTAAAAGGAAACTAGAAACTGATCTATGAGAGTATCATGATATTTTCCAAGATAACAATTAAAAGCTGTTGGCTGTTGCAGATAGTATATCCTTTCAGAATGAACTCTTAGAAAATAAGAGGTTGCAAACAGGAATTCTAAGTTCTGAAAACAAAATCTACAGATGTCAACAAGATCCCTGCTCAAATATCATCACATATCTGATTAGATATTAAACAAAAGGTGAGGTACAAAACTGGTGCATTAACATCCCTCTTATTGTTTATGGTACCAGACCATTTTGAATGGCTTTTTGGATGGCCAGCATTTGGTTTGTTACTGGGAAAATGGGAGCAAGTGGCAGCAGAGATGTCTGTGGAAATGTCACTGGAAAGGCATGTGCATCTACAGGATGTAATAATGTTTTTGTATATTTGCAGGTAAAGAGAAGGCAAGTGTTCTGAAAATTTCGGACAGCTCCAAAGAAGTAGATGGAGTTGGACCAAGAATGGGACCTTTCTCCAAAACTCATACACAAATTAGAGGCATTCACCCACCTTAGCTATATTACAAACATTTTTATTGTGGAAGTCCATGACTTCAGTCCTATGGGCTGCTTCTGATGGCTGAAGGTGTGTGTGTGGGGGGCTGATTTTTGTTGATTTCCCGCTCTTCTTGTGCTGTTCATGAAGGTACCCTGACCCCCCAGGAACAGAATTTGGGTTGGCTCAGTAGCAGCCCCGTAGCTAAGGACTTTTTAGG